TAACATTAAGCTCAACCAGCCAAAACAGGATGCCCTTTTTTTCTCCCATGACCACTGAGCATTTGAGAAAGGGTTGATCAGGTCCGGGAAACATGGGATGAGAATCCAGGGGGCACAAACTCCCAAGATGGGAGCTCAAATTTTGGGTAAATGCAGGTTGGTAAGGGATCCCAGCCATAAAAGAAAGCCGCCTTTGTAATATTTGAAGCAGGGTTCTGGGTAGACCATTCTAATGCCAGGTTGTGAGTATGACTCAAATGGGGGTGGATCAAGAGGTCCGGTAAACATGGGATGAGACTCCATGAGGGGGAGATGGAATTCCCCCACTACATGGGACAAGTTGCTCATGGTCACCTGGTGGTTCAAACAACCATCCGCAGGGCTCCTTAAAAGAAATACAACCAACCATTTGAAACATGTGGTTTTTTCAAGACCAAAATAAAGGGACACCTCCATTTACCCTTAAAGAAATACATTTTGCCCATCCATTTGAAACATGTGGCTTTTTTAAGACCAAAATAGTTCAGGTGTATAATGCATCCGGATCCCTGGGTTGTCTGAGAGCTTTTTCGCTTGAGTGGTTGGAGTTTCCGTACATTAACCCCACCAAAAGTTAGTCACTGTGAGCGGGGGATCTGAGGACGGCTCAGATTTGCTTGAATGTTGAAGCAAATAAACACCCGTTTATGAATAGGGGTCCCGGTGTTCCCCCAAAACCACCCCCCTGTCAACAACCTGGGTGGATCAATATTGGGTCAACAAATTCGGGGCGGGGGAGACTCAGGAGCCTTTTCGCAGATACCCAGAAGCCCTTTCTGTTAGGAGCAACACGTAAAATTCTAGGGGTTGATTCCTTGTCCATTCTTTTCAACCATCGTTCTTTCCGAAAACCGGCAACTCGTTTCCCCTGGGTTTTGGGAGGTTTTCTAGAAAGATTCGGATCCCTGGGTTCAGAATGGAATTGGAAGGACCGCGAAAGAGACGCGGCGCCCAAAAGGTAAGTATCCCTTGGGTTGTATTGGCCCACAAAGGTTTTCAATCGCTGAATGTCTAGGTCCTTTTTCTGAAGCCTTAGGCCTGGTATGAACCCCCCAGTTTACGGGTGAACTAAGCATTAGTCATGCCTTTGGAAGAAATCAGACCCATTGGCCCAAAATGGCCATGGGTTCATATCTGGACCGATACAAGCCTTGAAAAGTCCGAGATACGGGACTCGGCTGAAAGCGTTTCGGATCTTGGCGGCGCGTTTTGGTTATGGATTCCAAGACCCAGCTAATTGAAAGGGCTACACGGTTTCATTGGCAGTTTAAGGGTGTGAGGATGGATCTGGGTAGGTGTGAGCACAAGCCGAAATCAGAAAGAACACCAGTGGTAACTCTGGCGGAAGATCTCAAACGTTTGCCCTCACGACAAAGGCAAACGATCTTTGTCCACCAAAGCCGGAATCCCAACCAACATCAATGCCAAATACCAAAACACACAAGCCACAAACCATGAAGCATCATAATTTCCACATGAAGACCAGAATAACCTAATGTTGACCCCATACTAATCCCAGTTTATGATCAGGAGGACCTCCAAAAGTGGTCTGATTCCCGACTAAACCCAGGGACAGCCCTATGAATAAACTGGGGTTGATTAGTATGGGTCAACATTACAGAGAGCCTTATATTTCCCCCCTTGTTTAAACATTGCTTCACATGCTTGACCGGTTTGCCCCCCGCCCCTCCGCCCCGCAGAAAGAAAAAGCCCGAAGGACACAGACCAGTTAAACATGGTTTGTTTCGGGGTTCCATGTTGAACTTTGGGGGAGTATCCAGACGGCACTAGTACGCCTACCCAATCAAACATGGAATTGGGGGAGGGGGTGACCTCAGGATGTTGATGAAAGTCCCATTGTCCCATTTGCGGGAAAACTGGACAAATGGAATTATTGATCCCCCCCCCAAACCCCCTTGCCCGTTGAGGTTGGGGGCTTCTTCCTCAGAGGACTCAAGCTAACAAATATGCACGCCTATGTTTGTCATTTCGTCGGGTTGAAAATAGCCCTGGCTACGGCCACCGGAATCACTGGGGCCACCCGTGTCATCCCCTCAGCCCCTCAGCCTCAGACCGCACAATTCGGAATACATACACGCTTAGAGGAAAACAGAATCCGCCACATCAGAAAAGTTGTAAAAAATGATGTGATAGTAAAGAAAAGTTATCACATAAAAAAAAGCTGTAAAAAACAGAGTCAACAGCAACTGTGATAGTTTGTATTGGTGGACACCTATCTGTGGCGACCTCGACCTCGCTTTGGATCCGGGAGCCTTACAAGTTGAGGTCTTGAAGTGTCCTGCTGGATCTGAGCCATGTTGCTGGCAAAGAAAATTTGAACCGGCGGTCTTGACTACTCTTACCCCCAAACCTGGGGCCCTTGAACAGGACCTACGCGGACCGGAAAAAAAAAGAAGGCCAAACAGGTTCCTCAGGAAGGCCCCATGCTCTTGGCAGTTTTTGCCCGACCTGGATGGTAGCACAGCCGAGTACATCATTTGATGGTTCCAGTCAACATGGCCATGTTGGGTCCCCTTTTCAACGATATTTGTTTGGAAGTCGCCGCATAAATCAGGAGAAGGTGCGCAAGAACGAAGAGCTGCAGAAGGCGCCCGATGCGCCGGCCGGCTGACCCCATTCGGTGCTTCGGTGTCTCCCGTTTTCGTTTTGGTGAGGCTACTTAAAGTGGCGATCGGGTATGTCAGGGTGGGTATCCCTGATGTTTTTTCAGGGTGGGTAAGAACCCGTGGTGCTTTGTTTTTCTCACTTACCAGTTGTAAGCTGATGTAAGTGGGTTATTTCACCACGCCTACTAGCCACGAAAAAGCTGACGTGCCCGATAGAACCTTTAGCCCTTTTGGAGCGGCGGATTCTGGGCCCTTGGAGACAGATCCCGCGTACCGCCTTTAGACTAGGGCTTCCAAGCTGATGGCGTTCCCCGTCATTTCCGTCTAAAGCCACCCCAACAAAACCCTCAAGCAAAAGCAACATCCACCGGATCTGCAAGGATCTGCCTTTGAAATCATGAACAAATGTAGATTGCGCAACCAAAGTGGGCACAATGCCAATCTCTCCAAGCCCCTAATCTGACTGGTGACAAGCCCAGGGCTCATAGAAGCTTATTGGGCCGAAGGGTCTCTTCCTTGACGCGTCGTTTTGCCTTCCCGTTCTTGGACTAAACTGTATGTTTTGTTTGGCTTGTGGTTTTTGAGGTAACTTGTTGTGTTGGTTGGTTTAAAGGGATAGCAAAATCAACACCACACTTGTTTTTCTTGTCCCCCTATTGTGACACATACACATTTGGTGCGTTCCTTGGTTCTTTGGTGCCCCCAATGCAAGCTGACTCGAAAGGCACTTTTCAGCTTTTCCGAGGTGTGTTCCTGGAACTCTCGGGCTGGGAATCCTTGAGATTAGGCCGGTGTTGTTTTCTCTTTGGCGACCGGAGCGAACATCACTTGGTGGCTCTCAGCCATCCGGTTCCTTAGCTTTTGGCTTTTTAGTGTTTAGTGGGTGGATGTCCATGTAACCCACTAGAAGTTAAACTTTTAGCGGATCTGAGGATAGCCCAGATCAATGTGTTTGCTACAAGCACAACGGTTTTGAACAGTTCTTGCAGCCTGTTCAACAGTTCCACAGAGCGGTTTTGATTGCCATACTTCACCCAGTTGCCCAGTGGCGCCCCCTTTTTTCATGTTTTTGGGGGGAGGGGTTCCCCTTTAGCCTCAACCAAGCAAAAAGGATGCCCTTCTTTTCCCACAGACATCCACTGGGCATCTGAGTAGGAAGATACAAACCAGGTGCTCGCAAGAGGCTTGCGGTTGCCCTCATCGCAGGCCTCAACCGCCCATTTTGGGAGTTCCACACTGGGAGACATAGTCTTCTTGCATGGTGCGACTAGAGCAAGGAGACAATCATCCCCTTGCCATAAATAGCTGCGAAAATCCGCCTTCTTAATCCTGTACGTGGTTCTGGGTAGACCATTTTAGTACCAGGTTTTGATTGCGACTCAGGTGACATTCCAAGTTCGGTGAAGATGCCTTTGGACTCTTTTTTCTGACCAAGCCCGCTTTAGTACAGCTGCGTACGCGGGGCGAGCCAACAAGCAAGTGAACTGATTTAGTGACACATGTGAGAGTCTCCTCTTCTCCCTAACGTCTGCAGGCACTGCCAAAATGTCAAAGGATTCAGAGGTATGCAGATGCATTTGCAACCAATAGCTCTTAAGACAGTATATACATATACATACATATATATATATACATAAATACAGACGATAATGTGCCGAACCCTTTGAACAAGACGTGCATAAGCTGACCATCAACAATCATGAACACATGCCTTTGAGAGCGGTCACCCAAATACAGGTCAGCGTTGAGTCTGCTGGTTTCTGAGGAGTCTGTTCTATGAGGATTCCGCGAATGAAACACATCGCCCGGGACATGCAGAAAGGTTCCTGAGAGTCCAACAAAGGGAATATGGGCTTGCCTCAAGCAGTGGTTTCATTATGCTTTCCTGTCAAAACCTTCAAACAAACACCCACCTTTTGAAGAGCACCTGTCGGATACATATATATATATATATGTATCAGACATTCACAGCTGGTGAACACAGTGTTTGATTCCATGACATGGTTCTCCCCAGTTGTGTTTAATTCAGGGAGACAACGAAGCAACTCAACCTCCCGAGACCTGCACGTGGACAAAAGGCCTCAACCCATGAAGATTTGGTAGCTGTTTGATCTCTTTGATCCTTGAAGGCTTTGAAACACTTACCAACTAGAATGCCCCTCCAGGCCCAAAGTTGTCCCACACAAGGATCGCCCCAAGGAAAGCCTTGAACAGTTCTCGCAATACGAATCGACCCTTTCAGGTTTTCTTGTACTGGTTTCCTGGTTGGTATCCTGCTCCCTTCAATCACTAAGTGTGGGCCCAATTTTTGAGACTGAGAAGCAAAAACCTAGAGTGGGTCCATTGTTTTTGAGCAGCACTCACTTCCCGCCGCATGGCGCGCCGCCGCGTGGTGGCGCTCGCGCTGCTGCTCTCGCCCCTGGCTGCGCCTGGCTTCGTCAAAGGCGGCGTCGCCGGCCTGCGGCGCGATGCGCGGCGCGCGGCGACGACCGCGCGGCGCGCGGCACAAGCCGCCGGCACGGTGCACGTGTTGGCGTGCGCCACGGAGTACCGGCAGGCCGGGGATGGAAGGGGGGTAGCATGACAATCAGGGATGCATCCATTTGCTGAAATGAATATGTTTAAGATTTTACCCTGTTTGTTTTAAAGGGAATCTATCACTGCAGAAAGTATTTGTGTTTTTTCCAGGTGGCTCAAGCCAATGAAAGGATGCCTCGGACCCAGACTTGGGATTTAGGAAGACGGTTGGTCCCTTTTGCCTTCCTTAGGCCAGGTTTTTCAACGGGCAGAGACCCGTGGAGTGATCATCCCAAAAACCATTTTCTGCGCACCACATGGCTTTGAGCGCCGGACAGGCCTCCTAAGTGGTTGTAAGCAGCCGGTTGCCCAAAGCGAATCGACCTTTTGACCTTTTGGTGTTCCTAGGTCCCCCGGCTAGGTGCCCTTTTACCGTTTCTTTTTTGGTGGGGAGGGTTCCCCCTACTAGACTACAGAAAACAGGGCCTTATTCTAACCTCTCTACTGGAGGACCTAGTTTCCCAGTTTCAGTCATGGCCCCAAAAGGTTGACCTGCTATTTTCTGAATTCCTCGGGCAAGTGAGTGTAAGGGGTTTGCCCAACCCTGGGCATGAATGCCATGTGAATTCCTGGCAGTCTTAATGGGATAGCGCAAGGTGCAAACTGAATGAGAGGGGTGGCGGACAAAAGCACCAACGCACATCTACGATGATGTGGGATATATTCCATGGTTGTTTTTGAGAATGACCTCAGTGGAGTTATAGTCGATTGCTTCTGCCTTTGCTTACTACTGGACTTGCATCATGTGTCCTCCGCATGTCATTTGAAGTCCTATCGCAGGGCTCCCTGTCGAGGGTGTGTAAGAGCGGCCAAGATTAAGCCATCCAAAGTGAGGGGTGCCAACAAATTTCGCCTGGAGACAATAAATATGTGCGGACGTCGCAAAAGAAGCTTACCCCTCCTCCAACTAACATGGAGGTACCTGGAAGATTCATTTCCTGTTGAAGGAAGCCCCTGTCAGTTGCCATGTTTGTTGGAGGGTGCTCGGCCTGCATGAGTGATCTTCACGAAGATAAGACACAGGCCCCTTGGGTCCAAGTTCCTCGGCAGGGAACGGGACGAGGTGTGGAAAAAAATGGCAGCCCATGAACTTGCGACCAAGGCGAATCGACCTTTTGAGCTTTCGGTTTCGCTTGGTCCAGTTTTGGTCCCAGTTTGGTGATCACCTGTTCTTTTTGCTGAAATGAATATGTGTTTTAATTTTCCCTTGTTGGTTTTAAAAAGGAATTTATCGCTACTGGAAATCTTAACCAAGTGAAAATTTTATTTCTGGGTCCCGAGTCGAACAGTGCGGGGAATTGTCCATTCCTTTTTTTGGTAGGCATGCTTTGCTGATTGAAGCCTACAGCGCTCTGCGCTCTTCTGTATATCTATATCCTGTCGTGGAGTGTGTCAGTAACCTTAGACATACTTAGCCTCCTGTCCACTGACAGGGAACCCACCAGAGAATCCCTTTTTGAAGGAAATTTGCCTTCCAGGACCCGTCAGTCAGGTTCCATGTTAGTGGATGGGAGGGTACATGTAGTTGTTCCAGGGATTTCTTGCTTCTTCTAAATCCAAACGGGTTCTCATAAACGGGTTCCAGCTTGCACAGGACAATCGTGCGTGTAGCATCCTAGAACCCATTTCTTGGAGCCCGTTAAGTGGCACCCAAGAAATAGTTGGTCCGAAGAGAAACCACTTGGGAAGTTCAGAACCATCAGGTCCTTTGTTGCTTGTGGTCACCCAGCGAGTAACAATCAGCAACCTCATGCCCGAGTTTGTGGGAATCTCCAAAGCTGGTCTATCTTAAATGCACCAAATGTTTCCTCACCTGTACCTTTTGCGGATGAAAGGGAACCGCCCATTTTGCGGGTTCCCCTCTTTTGACACATGCCCGCCGAACAATCTCACGCCCCTTTCGGATCGGGTTAAATCTCCTCGGATTTGAGATCAGAGCCTGGCCTGGGTTTTCTTGTCTCTTGGGACTCGGCCCCCGCAAAAAAAACACGGGCGACTCGCTCGGCCTTCCGGTGGATTTTTTTTCCCCATGCCAAGCGAAATCTACCCAAAAGTCTAGGGGTACCTTCGAATTCCATTCTTTCCAGGGATCCTTCTTTCCAGAAAACCTCCAGAAACCCAGGGAAAACGACCGGTTTTTGAAAAGAGTGATGATTGAAAATAATGGGGAATCAACCCCTGGAAAAGGGGGTACCGATGCAACAGAACGCCACAAAAAAAAGAGAGCAAATAGTGACCATGTTGACAGGGGGGGGTCCTTCACTTGGGCAAGATCCCCAATTCATCTTGCTTGCTTTGCATGCGGAATGAACCTATGGATTAGGAAAATATCAGGGCTGGCCCCCTTTTTGGGGCCTGATCTTGCTTTTGCTTAAGACTATGATTGGGTTTTTCCCCTGTTGCTCTTAAAGGGAATCCATCACTGGACATATGTTCTCACTCTTTCCAGGGGGCGAAGCAGCAAAGGGTGGGTGTGCCAAGTTTGGTGGCTTTTACGGGAAATCGAGAAGAACACCCACCCATTCTGGGGGTCCTCTAGAAAAGATGCGGGAAAGGCGGGGTGCGACGCCTGCATTCGCGATCCGTCTGGAGGAGACGGCCATTTTGCAGCGCTCCGCGGCGCGGAACGGCCGCTTGACCAGCTCTGCCTTGGGAACGAACCATATGTCTCAGAACTTGAACGGGACCCTCAAAGTTGGCAAAGACATTGGTGGCTGGAAACCATCCGGTTCCTTTTTTTTAGTTGGTGTTGAGTGGTAGTTTCCACTAAACCACTAAAATGTTGTAGAAGTTGAACTTTCAGAGGGGGATCTGGGATCAGCCAACGAACTACTGGATGTCGTATGGGGGCAACATGTATCCCTTTGGAGCAAGACTCATTTACGGTCCGCGTGGCTTAGTCTGGGCTCGGCTGGTAAGAACGGGTCCCCTAGCTGGCTGGTTGCATACGTTTTTGTTGTTTCTGTTAAGAGCTGTTGGTTTCAAATGCGAATAATAAGTTGAATTTCGCTTTGGGAGGGTTGCAGCTGCGGCTTTGCATTCAACCCCTTTCATGTGCTTGTAAGGCTGCCCACGAATCGCGAGGCTGAAAAGGGTGCTCTGGCAAGAAAAGGGGCAATTGCATAAGCTCACTTCCTGAGTTCCTGGCCTTTTTAGTGGGAACTAGAAAAGTGCTTGGACTTTCTGGCCAACCCACTCAGGAAGTGAGTAAAGGGTACATGGCGATACCCGGGAAAGCTCCAAGAAATGGTAAGTTTCCCTTTGGTATCCTTTTAAACGAACTCCAAAAGGCGGACCATTAAGCAAACAACACACACACACACATCAATCCCCAATGACGGATGTCAAAAGGGCCGTTTTGTCCGATCGAACTCCGCGCTTCGGACCCAAGAATCTCCGGGTCCAAATGGGCCCAAAGTCTTGCAGTTGGTAGGTTTCTTATTTATCAGACGTATCAGACGTCGGGGGGGGGGGGGAGGTTAGGGGGGGGTTATCCTCTATCCTCTCTTAGGTGTCCGACACGCCGAGCAATGTCGGCGGGTTTATCCATCACAAGTGGTGCGACGCTGATTTTGCCCATCCGCCGTTGTTTTTTTGTTTTTTCTTTTTCCGCAGCAGCCTATGAAGGCCCGGGGACTTTGTGCCATAGAAAGGCCAACTGGATTGCATGACTGAGCCCTACGTGGCCCACATCACCAGGGGAGCGCAACCCTCCCCCCCCTCCCCCCGGATGTGACGGCCAGCCCATTTGGGCAATGTGAGGGATCTTGACTCGTTGGATATCCATTATCCGAGGTGATTCTAGTTATTCCGGCATGGTGTTTGAGGAAAATGTTCATTAGAGTAGTATGTGTTTTGCGGTTACGAATGGTTGTCCATAGGATCCTTCAACAGCAGCACATCACATACTACCACAAGAGGGGGGCTAGGTGGGTGTTGCAAGGGCCATGATTAGACTATGGTCATGGGGTATATAATTGTGTCATGTGGGTGTGGCTCAAAATTAAACAGGAGGGGCAAACCGCAGGTTTTGGTCCGATTCCACTTACCTGGGCAAGCCAGCTTGGGTACCGGTTTTTGAGCCACAGCCATGTTCATAGGACAAGAATGACATGTTCAGAGGACAAGAACTAGGTCCCCCAGTGGCCCAGTAGTGCCCTTTTACCCTTTCTTGGGGAGGGTTCCCTACTAAAATAGACTACAGGAAAAATAGGGTGCTTTCGACATGTCAGAGTCTGGGGCTTCTAGTTGGGTGTGTCTTTTTTTGGGGGGGTACCCCTTTGCGGTGGTTTAAAGCGAAATGCAAAAGGAAAGCCACCACTGTTTTTGAGGGGTCCAACCTGAAAAAAAAGATGAACCAGCCCATGGTTGTTGTTGGGAAACATTTTACATTTTTGCTGATTGTGTTTTAGTGGTTGAAATCCCCTTCCTTTTACTTGACAGCTATTTTGAAAATATTTCGCTCCCCTTCCTTTTACTGCTAATTTAATTTCCCCTTCCTTTTACTGATATTAGCTGAACAGATGCCTTCACGTCATCAACCCCAATACTTGGTTGTTGTTGGGAAGCATTTTACTTACAGTTTTGTTTTTTTGTGATGTAGTGGTTGAGATCCAAGCACTGAACTGCTATGTTGTTTGGCTCCCCTTCCAATGTCAACCAATTGTTCTGGCCAACCCACTCAGGAGGGCTGAAATTTGAGAACTCTTTTGGCTCCCCAAACCCAACGGCCAAGCGGTCACTCCCCTTCCAACTGCTGCGGCGTGTCGCGCGCCTGGCGTCGCGAGGCTTGCGCTTCCACGCGGTGGGCCTGGGGAAGCCCTGGCGGGGCTTCGCCACCAAGTTCCTCAGCGCCTGGCCCGACGTTTGGGTTCGACGTTTGGCAAGCGCGCTTGTTTTTCCGTGGTTTTTTTTGTTTGTTTTTTTGGGGGGGGTCTTGTTTTGTTGTTTTTTGTTGGGGGGGGGGGAGGAGGTCAACTTTTTGTTTGGTTTAACACAACCGTGGTTTTCTTTGGTTTGCCCTTTTGCCATCCCCCAAAAGGGGTGCCTTCAAAGAAGACAAGCGGGAGCATTTTGTGGGGAAGCCTGGGTGCTTCGGCAACAAGCCGAAAAGCCGCGTTGTTTGTGTCTTTGGGAACGCGCGGGGCAGTTCCGAAAAGGGTTCCAGGGCCGGTCCGGGAAGAGTTGCCGGGATGCACGGGGCCGTTGCGAGAAGGGTTCCGGGGATGCACGGGGGGCAGTTCCGGGAGGGCAACCCTCTTGGATTTGCGGGAGATTTAAGCCAAGCCTCTTGAACACGTGGCATGTGACGAAGTTCTTCTTCAATCTGACGAGGGACTCGAATCCATAATGCAGATAAGCCTGGCCAAGATCCAATCATCAATGAGTTCCTCAAATCTGAGCCAGCCTTTCGGGTCCGATCCGGCAACAGTAGTGAGCCTGAACCGAATGGGCATTTCACTATGCCCATTGGCGGATGGCTTGTTGGTTGGGGCAACTCACTGGATGCAATGACACCTGTAAAAAAAACGGCCGCCCAAGTATTGTTTCAGCTGAATGCCGACGGAGTAATCAACTTCTTGTCAATCCGGGGGTTGCAAGCGCCCCCAAAGTTGCAAGCGCCCCCAGTAAAGTAGGACACCCTACCCCCCGAAGAACATGGAACCCCAAGATTCCGTTGTGCAGACGTGTGCCCTTGGTTTTGTCTTTAGGGTATGGGTCAAAATTCAACCACCAGGATATGGACCGCAGGTCAAATCGTCCATGTTTCTATTTACCAGGGCTTGCGCCATTTCGGGTGCAGCCATTTGGGGACCTGCGGGGGGGTTGCCCTTCCTCCAACATAGCGCTTGTGGGAAGCTCCTCTTCAACGGGCCCCTGGTGCCATGTTCATTTCCAGGGGAAGCCAGCAACGTCCGAACTCCCTTTCCGAATGGGAAAAATCCCCCGGTATATTTATTTCCGCCCTTTCTTACATATATATATATATACATATATACATATAGTATTATTTCCCCAGTGGAAATCCACGCCTCTGAGTGGACCATTCGCTCACCTCGAGTCCGAGGCTACGCGGAGAAGCTCGAGGAGCTGCGGCCGCGGCTGAGTTCTGAGGACCGGGTGATGCTGCTGGACGCCTGGGACACGGCGCCTTAGCATGGCTGTTATTGGGACACGTGTTTTGCATTTTTGGTGGATTGGACTCCCCCGGGCCAGTGAAAAACCCTTACCAGCTGATTTAGAGGATTTTGTGTGTAAAGCTATCTCGTGGTTGTTGTTGGGAAGCATGTTACAGTTTTGCTTATTGTGGTCTAGTGGTTGAAATCCAACCACTTAGCTGCTAAGATTTAAATGGTTGCTCCCCTTCCAACGTCAACCGAGCTAAAGCGAAGAAACGCGAAGCGGGCATCGGGCGAAGGGGGGAAGGGGGGAAGGAGTGGGGGGGGGGGAAGGGATTGAATGGGAAACCAAAAGACTCAGGGTTGGGGTTCCCGGGAAGGGGCGAAGGGGCGAAGACGAGGAATTGCTTTCCTGGCATTGGGGGAGGGGAAGGATTGAATCAGGGTGTATTTTTTGGGATAGTCTTGCAGGTTTGGGGAAACCAAAAGAATCAGTATGGTTGGGGTTCCTGGTTGAGGATCTGGTCGAATCCCCGATAAGGTGGACCAAGATCAGGGCATGAGCGGGATCCTGGACAATCATGCGGGTACAGGTGAGAACCATTCCTGGCAACCGCAAATGAAGGGGTCTAGGTGTCCTATGTAAATGATGCAACGCTTACAATCTATTTTGCAACCCATACTTTAGGGTAGTATTGAAGTGTTGGAGCTTGCTTGCAACCTAAGCTCCAGCTGTCCGAGTGGGGAGGGGGGCTCTTGTTGATGCTCAGGAAGATTCAGGAAGTGGAGTCTGAGAAAGATGAATGTAAAAGGTGATGGGGTGCGTTGTGACACCAGTGCAATAGCAAGTGCAGGCGACGGGAATGATGTAGAAGTGCTCCGTCGCGTTTTGGGTGGATTTCAACTTGTGGAAGACCATTTTTGTGGTAAATACCATCTCTCCCACGTTGCCATGGCACCTGGCAGGGACCGGTCCCTCCAAGAGGAAACCGATCTTCCAGCCTCCCCACAAAAGCAATGTGAGTGAAGGATAAAAAGGTTCGGATTGTTCTCTGGCCAATCCACTCAGGAAGTGCGCCCACTGGTCATGGGTCCCGATGTTCTGAATGTGTCACTTTCATGCATAGGCGTCCTTTTTAGGTGAGTTTGGTTAAAGATAGATGGGTTCCGCTGGTTTACATGGGTCTTGTGCCCCATTTACCAGGGATACCCATCGATTTTTAACCAAAAGGCCACCTGAGCCTGAATCAAAGCCCGGGTAAGTGAAGGTTAGAAAGGGACGATCCCAGACATAAATAGCTGCGACAATCCGCCTTCTTAGTTCTGTACATGGTTCTGGGTCGACCATTTTTGTACGAGGTTTTGATTGTGACTCACCTATGCTTTCACGTGATCAGGTGATCCTGGGTACCAGCGACGAGCTGATGGCCAAGCTTGCCACGCTGCCCGAGGCAAAAAAGGGGCAAGCCGGGTGACCGGTTTTGTTGGCCGTTGAGTGCCTGGGAATAGAACGGAAATTTGTTGCAGTTTCTTGCGGGTCCCAGTTACCCTCCCACCAACTAACATGGAAGCGCACAACGCCCCTTGCCAAAGGAAAGTCGTCTTTCTAACGGGGTCTGTGCACTTCCATGTTAGTTAAGGGGAGGGTATCAGATTTCAGTTTTCCCCCCTTTACATGGAGTTTCTCCATGAGGCAAACCCGTTTTTGGCATTCTTTGGACAGGGTTTTTGACCCCCAAAGTGCCATTGGACGTCTCAGAGGGTCCGAGACACATCTCCTGTTCAACATGTTTGTTGGTGGGTGAATCTTTTTTGAACATCAACTAGGTCCCCCAGCTAGGTGCCCTTTTACCAACTTTTTGGGGGAGGTTCCCCTACTAAAAAAGACTTAGAAAAAAAAGGTACCCTTATTCTAACCTCTCAACCAATTGCACATCAGCATTTGTGTTTTTTTTTGCCATGGCCCTGCGTTTGGTTTGCGACTGAGCTTAACGTTTTGTTGTTTTTTTGAACGCCTGTTCGGCGATCAACCTTGGTTTCTGTTCCGGACATGTGGCATTTTCTTTTTGGTGACAAGGGGAATCCATCACTACTGAACGTATGCTTTCCATGGGGTTTAAGCAAAGCGAAGTGCTTGGATATGCCAACCCCAGTGGCAAACTAATCGGTGGGGAATGTTCAGGTGCGCCTCCAAGTATGTACTCGCTAACCCCTCCCCCCCCTGTAATTCCTTGCCGGGGTTGAGGGCCAGTGTTTTGTTTGTCTTTTGCCAACACCCTCCCACTCACCCCCCCCCCCCAAAGTGAATCTTTTGGATGGTGGTGGAATCTCGACCCGCTGTCTAAACGGAAGACCCCCCGGTGTCACTCCCACATTGTTGTTCGGAAACTTGGATAAAACCGGGAAATGAGCCGCAATCAAAACGGCGAGTGATGTGCTCGTGGCCCAGATGACAGACCTTGGTGGATTACAGACGATTGACATGGCGCACGGAGAGATGGCCGGAGTTTGCGGCGACATGTTGCGCCAAAGGAGCGCTTGGACCCTCAGCTCAGGGTTTCGCCCTCGCGGGTCGGCATCGGCGCTCCTAATGTGGCCCCTGGATTAGTGAACCCCTCCTTTTTTGAGGGGGGGTGTTCCCCTTCCAAAGTGGTCTGAATCCCCGCGAAAAAGCGACACGCCACAATCAAGGTCAGTGAGGGGTTCTGATGAATCCGTGGGTCCCATTAGTGAGACGCCACCTCCCTCATGAGTGCCCCTGTGCGAGTGGCGCTGACGGACCTTGCTGAGGGTTGGCTGGATGTGAAGACAACTCACTCCATGGGCCGCAATCAACCTCTTAGATGGAAGGTTAGTACGGGACAACCCCAGCCAAAAATATGTGTTGCCGCCTTTTTGATTCAATACTACCAGGTTTTCATACTATGTTTTGGCAATCCGTGTTTGGTTTGGTATAGACCCCTTGTTCACCTGATTCTTTAAGAGGGCTCCGAATTTTGGCTTGTAGCAGGAATGAGCATTGGTGAGAAGGCACCTGGATGCTAGAACTCACCGTTCCTAGAGTTCCTAGACGTAGTTTTTTGAAGACCATTTCATGGTTGTTGTTGGAAAGCATTTTACATTTTTGCGAGTGGTTGAAATCCAACCACTGAACTGCTATTTTGTTTGGCTCCCCTTCCAATGTCAACCAATTGTTCTGGCCAACCCACTCAGGAGGTGAATTTTATTCATCCACTATGTTGTTTGATTCTGAAGCCAACCCGGAAAGTAAGTTTAGGATCTTCGCACTTGAGACCAAGATAGATGTGCACAACCACCCAACCCAACCCCAAAATCAGTGAACTCCCCAAAATCAGTGAACTCCCCAAAAATGTTCTTGGAGCCCTCGGATTTTGGAGTTTGAATGGTTGAAGGTATGTTGACTGTCTCACTCCTGATGCTTTTTCTTCCAAGCTCAGTTTAGTGGCAAACCACTTTGCTCTTTTGCTAGCCAATCCACTCAAGTTCTAGCCATACCTTTTCCATTCCCTGCCTTTTCTTCAAAAGATTGGACACTCCCCCGGGCCAGTGAAAAACGCCTTACCAGCTGATTTAGAGGATTTTGTGTGTAAAGCTATCCCATGGTTGTTGTTGGGAAACATGTTACATTCTTGCTTATTGTGGTTGAGTGGTGGAAATCCCCTTCCTTTTACTGCTAAACATAAAAAACTGTGCTCCCCTTCCAACGTCAACCAAGATTTACTCAAGTGAGCTCTGACCCCTCAAAACTGCACCTGGCACCCTCTGATAAGGGCTCGGTGCTCTGCGGCGCAGAGCGGGTGTGCGGGCCCAACCACTTCCTGGTGGCGCAGGTTGAGGCAATCGGAGACGGAGTCGGAGACGAGGTCCAGCTAGGTGCCCTTTTACAGTTTCTTTTGTGGGGGTTGAAATTCCCACAAACTGTATTTCCAACATCACTTTTTGAGGGTGCCTCGACTCTTTGTTTGGGGGTCACAGGTATAACTAGGGACCCGCTAGGTGCCCTTTCTCACCAACCTTTTTGGTTGGGTTTAGACTACAGAAAAAAGTTGGTACCAACTTATTCTAGCCTCTCTACTCGAGGACCTAGGAGACGAAAGCTGGTCTGGTTACGTTGATGTTTTCGTGGCTATTTGGGTGTTTGGATCTTTGGACTTTAACTGTTTGGTTGAAACCGTGGAATTTGTTGCGTTGGACCCACAGAGGTTGCAGAGCAACCAAGATGTGGATGTGTCTTTTCTTAAAGACATACTCTTATTGGGGCGGTTCCCCTTAGATTCCCCTTTGTGTGTCCTTATATGGAATGAATCGTTGGGTTGAGTCTGGGCTTTCTACCTCCAAGAGCACAATCTTTTCAATTTTAGGGCGCCATTTGTGCATGATATCATGAACACCCGAAATGGACTCAGGGCAGGGCTGTGGGAAAAACCCACTTCTGCGATACCCCAAAGGGCAGATTCCCTTCCACAGAAGTGGTTGAACAAACTTCTTGCGATACAACCCTGGTCCATAGTGGATTTATGTCGACAGAAACAATGGATTTTCCAGAAATGGAACCAACGAGCAGAATGGGTAGCGATGGTGTGTGGTTGAGGGTAGGTTCAACGCAAAACCATACTCTTTGTTCTTTGTTTGGGGGGTCACTTTTGCTTGACGCATACTCATTCAAGGCTTTACTGTTCTTGGCATCTTCTTGTCGCCCAAACCTGTTGGTTCCCTCGGTCATGGAAATCCACAGGTCTTGGACAGATGAACGGAACGTAGATTGGTGAAATAATCCTCAAACGAAAATTCCAGTTGTTGGCGTCCCCTTGTAACGCGAAGGAGTCCGGTTGTAGAGTGCCGGATTTCTGTAAGTGACGTGGGTGCATTGGAGGCGATAGTGTGAGCCTCAACAGGATCCACAAGATACCGGAAGGAGCACAAAAAAGGGGGTCCTCCATGTTTGAGATTCCTCTGAAAATGGTGGGTGTTGTGTTTTTTCAGACCCTCAAAATGGTGGTTATCCTTTTGGTTTCCCTTTAAACCACTTAAGACTGGTGGTTATCCCTGTGGATGGTTCCTGTACCACACCTGACGCATGTCCACTGATTCTGTGATGGAAGATGTCCGGCAAGTGGTTTCAGTAGGACGTAGGATGGTACGGTGGAGTCGATCCGCCAGTTTTGGACTTTAAACATCTCCCCAGCAAAAAGCGTGAGATCCGTTTTGCTTTCCTCGTTTTCCCCATCTTTTTTCCCCCGTGGAAATCGTGGTTTTTCTCTTTTCCCCCGTGGAAATCGTTCCACGGACTGGAATTTTGACCCGCAGGCTCTCTACCCCGAAAACCACACGCCCTGGCGGTACCCCAACTCCGGCGGCATCATCGGACCCCCGCAGGCGGAGCATCGCGACCTGTTCTCATCTTCCACTTGCTTAAGAATATTGCTTATTTTCCCTTGTTGGTTTTAAAAGGCATTTATCACTACTGGAAATATGTGTGTGTTTTTTTGTGCAGGGGTCTTAAATGGAAGCCTAGGTCCCCCAGTTGTGCCCTTTGACCAACTTTTTCTGGGGAGGGTTCCCCTACAAAAATAGACTACAGAAAAAACAAGTACCCTTATTCTCTCTACTGGAGGACCTAGCTACCTGTATTTCTCATGGTTGTTGATGGGAAACATTTTACATTGTGCTTGCGGTTGAACTCCAACCACTTAGCTGCTTTTTTTGTTGCTCCCCTTCCAACGTCAACCAAGTTCTGGGAAACGTTGAAAACCACAGGTAAGCCACAATCAAAACTCGGGTAGATGAAGCTTAGTATTGGACACTCCCATCCGTGAATAGGTGTGGCCGCCTTGGTAAATCTTACATGGTTTTGGGACACGTTGAAAACCACCGAAGGGTTAAAAGGTACCCCTTGCTTGGTATCAAGGGGTCGAAATATTTTTTGGTTAATCAAGCCGTTTCATGTTTTGCTTTGCAACGACTGGGCTGTCCAAAGGCAAAGTTAGTTTGGTTAGAAGTAGATGGCACTGGTTTCGTAGGAAGCGGAGTAAAGCAGCGTGCTTCAGATTGGCTTGCATTTTTTTTTCACAAGGTCACCTAGAGTCAAAACCCAAAGCCCCTTCAGGAGGAGGTTGCAATCATAGAGCCACAGACAATTGGAACCCAGGATTAATGTTGACACCATATATATATATAATATAACAAAAAATCGTAGGGGGGGTGTCCCTGGGTTTAGTGGGGAATTAGACCACTTTTGGAGGGGCCAAAGCCACCCCGTATGAACTAAACTGGTTGGTTGAAATTCATATGGGTATGGGCCTGGGTCAAAATCAAATATAGCAGGTTTTAGTCCTTGTTTCCATTTAGCAGTTGGTTCCATTTTGGGTACCTATTTTTCACGTGCACCCATATGGGGTCAACTTTTTTCTCTTTTCCCTCAGGGAAAAAAGGGGGAAAAACACAAACTCCAGTGAGACTTCCTCTGGGATCAAAGCCACAAGGCTCCAGGCGCAACGTCACTGGCCGGCAATTTGGAGCCGTGCCAAGATCGGCTGCCCGGTCGAAGCGTTGCCCATGGCTCAGGTGTGTTTTTTGTTGCAGGGGCAAGCCGCAGGTTTTAGTCTTAGTTTCCATACGGGCTTGACGTGTTTTGCCCCCCCCCCCCCCCAATTGTTTTTTCTTTTGGGGGGGGGGGTGTTCCTTTTGGTTTCCCTCAAACACCACCAACAATGGGTACCCTCAAAAAAAAGACAGCCCCCGTCTACCAAGGTGCCATTGAGATTTTTCATTTGAGCCACGGCCAACTGCCCAGCGCCCGGTTTTCTTCTTCCAAGGCCTTGACAACGAGGACGGTCTTCCACCCAGTCAGGTTCCATTCATGGAAAGAGAGCAACTCCAACAATTTTGGGTTATCCATCCCCTTAGGCTTTTAGGTGTTAGTGGTTGGGTTTCATTTTCAATACTAAAAGTTCGTGACACTTGTTGCAGGGGATCCGACGGACAGCCCAATACTTTTTTTTCCAAAGGAATCCATCCCTCAAACCGAATTGGCGGCTCGCAGGTCATGGCGGAGTTGTTGCACGCCCTGATCCACGACACGGAGCGGGGCGGAGCGGGGCGCGCGGGATGGCGGACGAAAAACCGCAAAGGCCGAGTTGTTCTGGATGTTTTTCTCCGAGGGAGTCAGGTAACCCCCAGTGGCTTGGATTGGTGGCTTGGCGGCTTGGGGGATTTGACCCCCTGGTGGAGGTACTCAGTTGTTCTTAGTGGCACCCATTCTTTTTCCCCTTTTGTTTTGTGGCTGCCCCACTAAAATGGTCCAAGCCCAAAAAAAGGGTTCCCTTTTTTTGTCCAGGGTCACTGAACAACTGAGGGTATGCAAAACAAATGCGGGGGTAGATTCGGCCCATCGGCTGCTGGCGCCATTGTTATGACCTGTGTGCCTTCGCAAATGCATGGTTGTTGTTGGGAAAACATTTTGCATTTTTCCTTGTTGTGGTTTAGTGGGAGAACCAACCACTCAACTGCTAAAACTTAGATTCTTGCTCCCTTCCGACGTGGTCCAAGAATGGTCAATGTGGGTACCTTGTATCTCTCTAGAAGTGCAAGTTCCCCCCCCCCCCCCCGGTGCTTACCTCCCTAATAACCCCGTCCACTTCTCGCTGGGGTACAGGCAAAAGCTCCTGGAGAGGATCTGGCCCACAGCTAAGCCTCAGGGGCGTTGATGAGCTTGGGGCCCAGAAGTCAGGTTCAGAAGCCCTCGCTGGCCGAAAGCCGACTCCCGGACTTCTCCAATGGCCCATGGTTCGCCATGCGGCATGGCACAAGCATCCTCGGCTTGGTTTGGGACCCTCCTTTCCTGGCCCACGCGAGAATCGCGCCATCTACATTCGCCCTGGTGCAAATTGCTATTTCCAGGTTCCTTTGGCAAGTGAGTCTTCTTCACATGTGAACGAAGTATCCCACGTCGATGAATCTGTTCTGTGTCCTTGTCGTCCTCAGAAGCCTGTGGGGGAACGCATGGTTGCTCTTTCAAATGTTGAATATTACCTTCTTGTAAAATGAGTTGCGCGAGTAGACGCCGAAGGCTTCTGATGGTGGCATTTCTGGCACCCTTCAAAGTGCAAAATTCCTCTCGGAGTTGTACCGTTGTTCCCCACAAAACAGCCAACGCATATTTGTCAATTTATGTTGTGCTCGCCTCGGGCAAAACACTGGCCCATGTTGAAGGCCCCTTGGATATCCCGTATTTCAGGTGTTGGAATTGTTGTCAAAGATGCAGAATCAGTTGATCAGTTCATGTCTCTATCCATTAAGCAAAGACACACACACACACATACACCTACTATACATATATATATATATAGTTATATACATTACACACGCATGTGTGTGTGTGTGTGTGTGCGCGTCTGTGTGCGGATTGCCCCTCCTGGATGGATTCCTTAAATTCAAGATGGAAATTCGCAGTGGCTCGCCTGACTAAGACTGCCTTTCCCGCTAGGAGGATGGGCAAACGCTGCCGGCGGAGGAGAACGACCAGGTGCTTCGCCCAATGTCTTCGGGTTCCGTGCTTGCATGCATGCGTGCGTTCGCGTGTGTGTTTTTATTTGTGTGTTTTTGTAACCCCTTTTTGTGGACGGTTCAAAGGGAAGCCAAAAGGACAACTGTCACATGCATCCATTTGATTCTAAAGAGTGAATGGGGTTACAGGCCGGTTAATGGGAGGAGGCACTGGGTGTGTGACCCCGTTCCTAAGCAAAGTGCGACGGAGTGACAAGCAAGGAGGGATTCTATGGGTGTCGCGACTTTTCCGCAAGGAGCTTCCAAGACCAAAGCCTTTTTCGGCCCTTAAGCATCAGGTGTCACCTCTCAAAATTTCTCAAGATTGGGAACATTCCCATCCACCATTTGGATGTCATTGAGGACGTCACTTTAATGGACCTTACACTTATATTTTGTCAACTTTGGCTCATCCCATCCATTTGGATGTCTTTGAGGATGTCACTTTAATGGACCTTACACTTATATTTTGTCAACTTTGGCTCATCCCATCCATTTGGATGTCTTTGAGGATGTCACTTTAGTGGACCTTACAACTTTTCTTTTCGTCCATTTTGCCTCAAGTGCCACTCACTCGGGTCAGTCAAACCGGGGTTGCTTTTTGTGAGCCATCGCTTCGATCTTTCAGCCACTCTTTTACCGCAGGTGCGGTTGCACGACTTGCTCATCGCGCGCGCGAGGAATGGCCGGCGTTTTCCTTTGGTGCTGGACACTGATTGCCGGGTCTTCCAGTGCATGTACGAGGCCCGGGTTCCTGAACCTCTCCGCGCCGTATGGCTTGGCTTTGGACCCTAGAATACGTCTGAAGCTCAACTGGTCCCTTCAAACGGTGACGGGCCCAAACGGCGGGCACCCTAGAAAAACGTGTTAAGCCAAAACTGGCTGAAAGATTCGCTCCCAGGAAACGGTGATGATTTGTCTTTTAGTTTCCCGTGTAAATCGCCTCAAACCGCCCTCAAGCACGACACCCATTTCAAGCTCGGCAACCTGTCGGACCAGGTTCTCGACGAAAGCGGGGTCCGAGCGCTTGCGCCAAAGGACAAGCAGATAATCAGGTAGCATCAGCTAGAGCTCATTTGTTGGAGCCGATTTCTTTGGTGCATTTTGCCAAGGTGTTAGTTGACTTTAACTTTTTGCCAACTCATGGGTATTCCAATTAAACCACTAAAAGTTAAGCTTTGAGCAGGGGAGCAGAAAGCAATCGAGATTTGGCAACGTCTTGCTTTCAGCATAGGCCACCGGCCTTGAAATTTGAGCTTCTATGGGGACCCACATTGGCGGGCATATTTCCACAGTGCGGCATTTTATTTTATTTTTCATTTTTATTTTTTAAAGAGGGGCCACCACAGGTACAGTCAAGGATACCAACCAGTCCTCCATGACCACCAGTCAGCTCATGTGTAGTGTGTACATATATATACACACCACACATCACAAAGCACATGCTACTGATCCCTATATACTAAATTATGTGGTGTTCTTTTCCAACACCAAACCGCAACAATGATACACAATCGCCACGCCGGGTCGTGAACCACAGACAGGAACAGCCTCAGTGGGACGTGGTCTTGGATGAGTCCGAGACTCCGGCGCGGCCGCGGCTGGTGAACAAGCTCACCAAGGAGGGGCTGTACAAAAAATCCCCCTGCCGTGTTTGTACTTTAATGGGGGGGGGTTACCACCCTGAAAACTTGGTGGTCCCCTACTTGGTAACTTTTGTGAATGTTAGCACCGGTTTATTTCAATATACCCTCACGACAGCGAAGACAGGGGGATAAAAAGCGGTGGTCAAAGTGTCCAGATCCGTGCAGTCGGGCCTTGGGGAAGGAGCCAAGCGGTGCCAAGGGAGAGGTGTACTGGCACCCACAGGCGGAGACCAGTTTTCAGGTTGGTGCTTCGAAGCGGAGAAACGTGACCCCAAGTCACCCCAAGGCTTCTGGTTGGAGATCCCATGAAAAGCGAACCGCGAAGAAAGTGTCAGCCGGCCCCTCACTGGGCAGGCGTCGCTATGGCATCCCAGTGGCTCTAAGCCCAGGGCCCCAATTGGGTACCCTTTTTCAAGCCTCTCCGGAGGACCCAGGAGTTGGAATGAAACGTTTTGGGATTCCTGGCGACACATTTTACATTTTTGCTTTTTGTATTATAACTTAGTGGTTGAAATCCAACTACTCAACGACTAAAAGTGTTTTTTGTTGGCCCCTTCCAAGGTCAACCAAGAATTGGAAGGTGGTTCAGTTGAAGCTGAAAGAGTCACTCCTTTCAAGCTACAAGCGAGGTCTGCCAAGAGAAGATGCCCCAAGACTTCAAGAGGGATGGCCTGTCTTGGCGCGACCTGGGGTCATGTCCTCAAGATGCGAGTTGCAGTGGATGCAGTTGCTGGTAGTTGCGATCTCAGTGTGCGTGTAATGACATGTACATGCCGAAGGGGATCACTCGCCACTTTTGGCGTTTCTGTATTTTTCCTTTGAACACCTATTGCCAGCATTTCAGAATGATCATGTGGGTGTGTCTTTCCTTTTGCAAGCCGACTAAACTAGTTGTTTCCCTTTCGGTTCCGCGTTAGAACCACAGAAATGGGCACCAACTCCAAAACAAGACAGACCTGTGTAAGTGTTGTCTCTACAGGTAGTGTGTTTAGTGAAGAGGCTTCCCATGTGAGGCACCTTCTTAGAACAGTGAAGCATGGGCAGGTTCAGCGGCCCTGTTGATTCTGTACACGGTTGGTTGGGTAGATACTAGGTCCCCCAGCTAGGGAGGGTTCCCCTACTAATGTAGACTACAGAAAAAAGGTACCCTTATTCTAACCTCTCTACTGAAGGACCCAGGAGAAGTTTAACTGCGATGATGTTTTTTTCAGGGTTTCCGAGCCATGTCCCTTTTGGGTTGCCTCCCAAAGTGGCGCTCGTTTCAATGGACACCAGTAAATTGCGACCTTTGAAGGGGACATCCAGTGACCCCTGTTTGGTTTTGATTGTCCTTTTCTGGGAAACCGGCTATTCGGTCTGGGGCTCAGGGTTGTTCAACCCTTCCCCTTTGCACAACCCGCCGTTCAGTTCAAGTGAATTGCCTTTTTCACCTACTAAAATGGTTGGCGGGCACAAATCCAGCCGTTCTGAATGTCATCTACCAAACAAACCATGTTGAATGCTTCTTGGTTGGACCTGTAACCCTAAATCTCTCGGGAACAGTGTTTGTTGCACAGCTAACCTGCACAAGTTGTTCGACTTGGGCGGCGGATGCTTGCCACCACATCTTGCTGGTTGGATAGGCAGAGAATGAGTTGGAATGAACCCGATCTGAAGCATCCCTTCCCTAGGGGACCTTTGAGGTTTCCCAAGAGCGATTCCCACTGGCAAGCTTAAGGAACGGACTCCCCATGCTTAGGTCCTCCGCCACCCTCAAAATCGGGGGCCGCCCAAAAGTGGTGGGGCGTTCCTTCAATTTCCCTTGAAGCCAACCTGAAAAGGGCACCCTCCAAAAAAGTGGCACACTCAAAACAGCCGTGGATGCTGGCGAAAGCCCGCTTCGCACCGTCCAGAAGCCCTGGTTGCTGATGATTTTTCTGGAAAATACCAAAGACTTTCATTTCGCGGGGCGAGAAGCGGATTTCGCAACCCGTCCACTGCTGCACGGGGACGGCCCCATGCTGTGGATGGTTGCGAAATCCATTTCGCACCACCAAAGAAAAACCCTGAGTTCTGATGATTCCCCTAAATACCTATCAAACCAGTGGTATATTCCAAAGGACGGCATTAAACAAAGACCTGAGCCTGTAGAAACCCTTGCAATGAGGTTTCAGCCATGGGTTCCTTAGGTGGTGCGGATTCCGCAACCCGTCCATCCAGCCGCAAGGGGCCGACCCCCCGGCCGCTGACGCTCACGTCAGGAGCGGCCGGTGGTGGCGCACGGCAACGGTCACACGGGTCGCTGGTTCCTGTCGGCGATGTACAGCGAGATGCCGCTAAGCCAGATCGAGCACCGACGGGTTGGATGGCTTCCATTTGCTGAAAAGAATATATTTGTTAATTTCCCCTGTTGGTTTTGAAGGGAATCTATCACTACTGGAAATATTTATTCCCAGGGGTCTTAACCAAATGGAAGGGTTGGATGGAGCTTTGTTTAATTGAGTGTGTGTGTGTGTGTTTTTTGAGGGTGCCCTGCTTTCTTTTAAGGGAAGCCAAGGGGAAAACCATTCTGTTGGTGGGTCTACTAAAAAAACAAGAGAGAAGGGTCTGAAAATGCTGCCGTAATTGGTAGCACCAGGGGCGTCAGCTACCCAGGCACGCGGCCGCTGTTTCCAGTGTTCTGGTTGGAACGGGGATTGCAATGGGTCAAAATCCAAATCGTACCCCCACTGAACATCCCAATTTCCCCACTAAAATAGGTTCCAAAATGGGTCTTGCAACTACCAACCAAAATGGGATCCCAAAACGGTTTTGACAACCACGGCCACATCATAATCATCTACCAAAAGGCGACCCATTCTTTCGTATGGAAATCCGCTCGCAAGGCACCGGTGGAAGAATGTTGTTGGGAAACATTTTGCATTTTTGCTTATTGTGGTTTAGTGGTTGAAATCCAACCACTTAGCTGCTAAAATTGATTTTGTTGCTCCCCTTCCAACGTCAACCAAGATGGGAGCTCCTTCCTTCCTCTCCATAACGCGGGTTTTTGCGAGTGCCCCTGTCAGTTTATTTAAGTCCTTCCCTGGAAGGAACACCTCTGACACGAGTATTGCTTGACGCGTGGCCCTCTCCCTCCTTGCAAAGAGCCCCTGCCTCATTGCCTCTGCAAAAACGCGGTTTTTGGGGAGCCCCGCTTGTGCCCCACAACGGAGCCCTGCTGCACCGCTAGACCCCTTCTTGTCGAAGCCCCTGCTGCATGCCCACCGAAGCTTATGCGTTGAAAGGGCCTTGGCCTTACTTCCCTCCCTATGCGGTTTGTGAGTGGTACTTGCCAGGATGAGTGGCTTCTCTCTTTCCTGAACACGCTTTTTTTGCGTGCCGTTCCGCTTTTGCATGCCCGCTTTTGGGTGCTGCCTGATCCTTCCTAATGCTTTGTAATATTTGCTTACATGGCAAATGTTATCTAGATTGTGTCTGGCATCACTGCTACATCCATATCTCCAGTGGGCGTCCAACGAATCAAGAGTTGTTGGATGGTGGCCAGATTTTGTTGATTCCAGTTTATGAGCTCTCGGGGGCACTTTGTCCATATTCATAGCAAAGATGAACTTATCTGGTTTATGCTGATTAAATGCAATAGACAGATGATGTTGACACAATTAAAGTAAATTCAGTTTGTTGTTTTTTCTCGTAGATCTTAGAACGCTGCGTTATGCTTTTACAGGGGTATTCAGGAAATGATTTGAACTGAGTTGCAATTGAACTTGTAAGCCAAGGTCAACGTTGGACTCACAGAGTGATACAAAGTGTTGTAACCGTGATGAACTTGACCACTTCCTTTTGTACGACAGACCGAACGACAGTAGTGTGAATGGATGGCTGACCAACAACAGAGTTAGACGAAATAGGATTAATTGTAAGTTACAAGCAGTTCTTTTTCAGGAGATGAGACACGTAACTGTGAAGGTCGTTGCCCTGCAGAAAGGCATTGCTAGTTTCCCAAGTACCAGAAGTGTTTTTGTATGTGTTTGTCACCTCGGCAAACAGTGAGCTTATCATTAGCATGAGGTTCAACAATACAACCAGGAAGTTTGAAACAAGTTTCAGCGCAACCCAATCAAGTTCAGCCTATGTGAAGCTGAAAATCATTTTGGACCCTAGCAAACCAGTTATGTGGAGGTTTCCAAAACCCGGGACTTGGCTTGAGTGGCCCGTCTGGTTTTGGTATAGATTTGCTTTGGTGTACAGATTTGCTTTTTCTATTAATTTAAATGGGTGTGTCTTTGCTTTTGGGGATCCCTGGGCGGATGTAAAAGGGGATGGGCAAAAGGGATCAGAGCTGTTTTGACATGTTGCAAATCCTGTTCGAATACTCACTTCCTGAGTTCATGAACTTTAAAACTTTTTGGGAAGACCATTTTAGTGGTAATTATAAAGTTTGAACTTTTTTTGGGCCATCCACTCAGCCAGTGAGAATAGGCTTGCCGGAATCTAGTCATTGGTTTTCGAGGTTTTCGTGTGCTGTCCAATGGTGTTCTGGCGTGTGGTCCGTTGCGACGTTTGAAAGCTCCATGTCTTCGAGCTGGAAATCTCAAGGCTTCGTCCTGTCGTTTTGAGCAATTCGTGGCCAGAACCACGACATGTGTTTTTCTTGCCAGAAGACCCCTCTGTGGTTTCTTGCCCCGGGGGCCAAGCCAGGCGGCTATGAAGTTTAGGGGGGCTCTGAAAAGTGGCCAGGCTGGACATGAAGATCCACCGAAATGACGTTTTTTTCACAGGGTCCCTAGTTAATCAGACCCAATTCTCCATGGGGGTATCCAAAGGGTCTGTGATGTCCACCAAAGGGTCCCTTAAAAAAAAAAAGTCCACCAAAGGGTCCCCCCCCCAAAAAAAAAGAAGCAACATCGCAACAAAAGGAGCACCCGCCATTTTCTTTCGGGTTTGCATTTGAGCCACGATGATAGATGAGCATAGCCATGGTAAAAACCTGCTCGAGCCGTGGCTTTTTTCTTTATAGCTGCCCAAGCCAGGCAGCTGCTGCAGTATCTGGGCCTCAGCATGGGGGAGCTGCAGCACCTGCGTCATGAGATGCCGGTGCCTCCGGGCACGCAGGTCACGGAGGAGATCAAGGCGGAGTACTGCCCCTGGCGCCTCGTTCCGCTTGCTTTTTGTCTTTTTTCTTTGTCTTCTCGGTTTTTTTGGGGGGGGGTGCGGCCCACAAATTTGTCGTTTCGTTGTTTTTTTCTTTTTTCGGCGGTTGGCGTGCGGCCCAGGGAAACATCGCAAGCAAATCAGGAAGTCGAGCCTGGGGGGCAGGTCCGAAAACCAGCAATTGCAGCTGTCCTATCGATTCGTTACATGTGTTTGGGTGGACTGCGTTAGTCCCAGCTATTTTGATCGTGACTCACGCTCTCCATTTTTCTTTTGGACACTACAAGGAGAGCCATGTAAGGCCTTTTGACTTCCAGGGATCCATCAGGGTCGTTTGACCCTTGTGTCAACATGTTTCAACCAAACACATGTTTGATTCCCAAGTCTTACCAGAAACTAGCGACAATGGCAAAGCAACTCAAAGAAGCAAGCAATGGTTACATCGGGTGACTCTTCTCCAAGTAGCCTGCACTGGTTCTCAATCCGTATTCCAGTATGTTCGGGCAATCTTATCCACAGCCTTTGTTTCGTATCCCAAGGCGGCCATTACCATCTCTTGTACTTGTTTTGGAATTCATTCCACTGGCTGAAACTGAACTAAGATGCGGCTCTGATGGACATGGGAAAATGAGTAAGTCCCAAACGGTGTGGGAAATTCCGTAAGAGGGCCAGGGTCCCTGAGCTGAAATTAGGCGACCAGATAGTATAGTTTCGTTGTGCCAAAGGGGTACAAAGGCTGCACATGAGGTGAGGTCTCAAAATATCCAGCTTGGATTAGCCAGTTAATGTGTCAAAGGCGGCCCGAACATTGGTGGGTCGTTGTGGTGTAAGCCAAGGCAACACAACGTTGCTTTTTCCTTTTGGTGCCTGAAATCACCAACCAGACAGAGATTACCCGGGCAGATCTTGACCGAGGTGGTACATGCCGGGAATGCACAAGGGCGCCACCGACGGCTTTGCATCCTTCCGGCAGATCCGGGACATGCTGTGTCGGTGAATCTTTAGCCAACCGCACCGCCAAGAAAAAGGAGAAAAGGCGAGCTGCTCCACAACAAGAGGTGTGTGATTTTTGAGGGTACTCTTTATTGAGTTGGTTTCAATATGAGAAGCAAAGTGACTTTTCTTTAATTCTTTTTTTTGGGGGGGGGGAGGGGGAGTACCCCTATTTTGACACATACCGAAATGAAAGTTGGCCACAATCTGTCCAGATTTGATGGTCCATTTCGAGGGACGAGTAATTTTGACCGCTGAAATGGACATCGAGTAAGGGGCTCGTGGCATCGTAGAGATTGCAACCACGGACGTACTAGGGGAAAGGTATATTCCTTATATTTCCTTATGGTGGCTATATATTCCAAGCACCTAAGGGGTAGTTGTTTGGGGGTGGCCACCATGCAGAGAGCACGAGTTTTTCTTACCATGACCACCAGTCTTGTTGCGTCTCAAGTCTTTGTTCATGGTTTTTCCTTCTCGGCAAGTGGCCATTGCGCTGTTCCGCTCCTGAATCCTTCCCTTGGGATCGAGGAGCCCACTGCCTTGAGCCTTTCTCGGCTCATGTCCTTCCGGTGAAGCGCACTTCACGGAATCCCATGAGAAAGAAGAGAGAGGGAGAGAGAGAGAGAGAGAGAGAGATAGAGAGAGAGAGACAGAGAGAGGAGAGAGGAGAGAGGAGAGAGGAGAGAGGAGAGAGGAGAGAGGAGAGAGGAGAGAGGAGAGAGGAGAGAGGAGAGAGGAGAGAGGAGAGAGGAGAGAGGGAGACAGAGAGAGAGCGCACTGGTCGGAAGTCGGAAGGCAGACGTAGGGCGGTCGGGCGCGCCATTCTTTTAGCCGACTTCCTAGATGGACGCTGTTGGGGAAGCCGCTGTGGGCTGTGGGTTCCCCAAGCAAACTTAAACAAACGGTGGACTGTTTTCAGGGGAACTCCTTGGAAACCACTTGCATTGTTGGGCTTGTCCCCCTTTTGTGTGATATTTAAAGGGACCCCCCAAAAAACACCCAACCATCCTGGGGAATCAAACTCCCAACATGGTTAGAACCTTTTCTTGGGGTGGGGGTCCCTTGAACTACCTAAAAAAAATTCTTGGGACCTGTACTGCTATTGGGTTGGATCTTTAGACTGTAACTATTGGATTCCCCTCATACTTCCTGTTAACCAGCAAGAAGTTAAACCTTTCAACTTTTTGCCGGGGGATCTTCCATGGCCCAAGGCACGTGTTTGAAAAGACTCCAGCTCCGTCACCGCGCCAAGCCGCTCGGAGCCTCGGGCCGTCGCATCGCCTTCGCCAGGTGCAAGGCTCCATCACCCAGAAGATCGAGCAGCTGCGGCGGCTGCTGGGAGCCCCTGAAAAAGAAGCGGCGGGTGGACCTGCTCTTCCTGCGAGCGGCGGGAAATGAGTGAGTCTAGGTTTTCCGGCGGGGAATGCCCTTTTACCGCGGCTTTGGAGGAAACCCGAAAGGAATCACCAAACTCCATTGGACGGGTCCAAATCCAACTGATATGCTAGGTCCGCTAGGTGCCCTTTCTCACCCTTTCTTTGGTTGGGAGGGTTCCCCTAACATAAACGTCCTGAAAAAGGGAATGAGCCTGGGGAATGAACCTGGGGATTCCCTTAAAGGGAACCACAGGGGATGGTTTCTAGGGGTGATTCCCTTGCTGCGAGAAGCGGATGGACTGAGTTGGAATGAACCGTTTGGTGGATTCCTGGCTATAGCCAGTTGGGTGTGCCTTTTTTTGAGGGTACCCCTTTTCGGTGGTTTTCAAGAGAAAAAGGAAAAGCCACTCCTGCTGCGAGAAGCGGATGGAATGAGTTGGCTGTGGGTCAAAAATAGACGATGGCTTGCCCTGGTAGATGGAAACATGGACGATTGAACCTGCGGTCTCGTGGTGGTTTAATTTTGACCCATGCCCAGTTGGAATGAGTTACCACTTGCTGGTGCCCTAGCAAGATTTTCGCCCTTGATTCCGCAAATGATACATGCTGGTGCTTAGCAGGGAATGACCCTGGGGATTCCCTGAATTCCAGGAAACCAAAGGAAATGGATGAACTTTTCTTTGGTCATTCCATTTCTCATTTTTGGCTGAGCCTGGCCTCTGCCCTTTTTGTCTTTCTTGTTGGGCCAAAGTATGTTTGGATGTCACGCAATTCGTTCATTGGTTTCTGAAACCTTCTGCTAGGACCGGTTTCCGAAGCATGGCAGGCGTGAAACCCTGGCAACTTCCGCTGAGTTGCGGGGTCTCCAACTGTTTGCCGATGCTTGAAATGTTCAGGGCATCCACTGTCCTTACAAACTAACCTAGTTTCCCCAAAAAGCGGCGCTTTTTCCCACCAGGAGTTTCCTCGACAAATGCGTGTTGCGCGCCAATTTTCGCACGTCAATGCACAAATTGTACGTCCAACAAGATCTCCGCAATTTGTCTATTGCACTCATCTTGTATGTTCAATTCCTTGTTTGGGTGGCGTGTTGAGTTGGCTTGTGTATTGAAGGTCCTGTTCGGTAAGCCGAACCTGAAAGAAGGTGTACGGCATGTGGGGTGTTTTTTTGGCGACCAAAGTAAAGGCGGAAACTTTGAAAGCCGCTTTTGAAACAGCGGGGAAACGGATTGTTTCAGGGATTCCACATCAACTGCCAGGTTAGATTTCAGAGTTGGGCGATCCCCGTGTGTACGCATGTCAATAAACCACCAGGGTCTTATGTGAAAGAAGAGCAAAGCATCACCCATAACTGGCGAATCTAGCTTCTTGGCATGGGTAGCTCACTCAATTGCCCACTAAGGCAGGGTCTCATGAAGTGTTGCATCTCCAATAAGGTAACTTTCACGTTTTGGCAGGGTTGCAGGAAGAACTCGTTTGGGCCAATGAAACAGGTTTACACAGAACACGCAAGACATATTTACAAGTTTCGAGGAGCCGGGTTCCTTCGTTTCGCAGTCCATGGCTCATGTGGCGCTTGGTTGGCGGTTGGTTTTTGGTTTGCTTAGGCAGCCTACCGAGGCGGGGCGATTTGTGTTACTGTGCCGCCTTAGCTCGCTCCTCAAATGCAAGCCCAGTCAAGCCTTCATAGCCAAAAGGCGGCCAACAGCACTTGGGCCGGGCTTTGAAACTGGTTATGTAGGCTGACTTGCTTAGGGAAACTCTGCTTTTATGATGGAAAACTGTGCTTTGTGTTTCATCCTGGTGAGCATTTTTCTGTCACCACTGTTAGTGGCGTCTCCAGCATAGATGGTTGAGGAGTCGCGGCCAAGCAAAGGTAACGGCCACCGAAAAAGTGACCTCATTCCTTGAGATGCTGGACTACATAGTTTTGGAAGTTCTTTGTGGCAAACCATCACATCGGATGTCTTTCGCCAACCCTCCAGCGCGGCGTTCTGGATGTGCTCATGTGAAGGCATTAGGGGTTCAGGGGCTGTCGTCCTCATTGAGCGGGTGCACTGTGCGTGTGTGCTTTCTGAGGGTACCCTTGTCGGGTGGATTCAAGGGAAACCAACAGGAAGCACAGATTACGTACATACCTTAGGCAAAACATTTCACACTCGGGGCCGGTGGGGCTGGTCATTGACCTGGAAATTTGGAGCAGGGAAATTGGAGTCGCCATGGCTTACTCAGGATAAATGGAGGCAGCAGCTCGGTTTCAGTTCGCAGTTGGCCCCATTTCTTTGCCCCCTTTGGGGTAGGCCGTCAAGGTGTTTAAGCCACTGGTGAAGACAACCTTGTTTTGGCCTCCCATTAAAGAACCTTGTGTTTAATTAAACACGAAAAACAAAAGCGACGGTTGCCGTGGGTAACAAAGGGAGACCATCATGTAAGGCCCATTTAGACCAGGGTTATTGCAGGAGCCATGGCCCATTCAGGAGAAAAGGAGGCAGCTCGAGCTCAGTTCGGGAAACTAGCATGTCTAGGTCCCCCAGTGCCCTTTTACCGTTTCTTTTTTGGGGGAGGGTTCCCCTACTAGAATAGACGTCCTGAAAAATGGGGTCCCCTTATTCTAACCTCTCTGGAGAACCTAGAGCAGACCAACATGTCACGTCCACCGGAAAAAAAAAATGAAAAAAACTGTCTCACCCCGTGAGTTGCTGGACTTCATACGTGGATGGACAAAATCCATTTGGCTTCTCGCACCGTTCAGAGAGCCACCGTTCGGGAAACCATCCTGTACAAGCCGGTAAGGCTTGCGGGCGCTGGTTTTCTCATAAGCCAAGCTCCAGGCCCTGATGCGCGGGACCGGGCGCGGCGCTGAGTCACTGAGTCACTCGAGTCACTGAGCGGTCCATCGGCCCCAGCCGCAGTAGAACAACTTGGGGCTAGGTGGGTGCGTGTCTTTCGTTTGGCGACTTTTATTTTGTGTGGTTTTATGGGCAACCAAGGAAAATCGCTTCTTCTTCTTCTGTCTTTCTTTTTTTTTTTTGGGGGGGGGGGTGTTCCCCTATTTTGAGACAACCTCAATATGGGGCATAGCTGTTTTCTGGTTGCGTTTTCTGGGGATTTAGAAGAAGAGACACACCCAACTCCCTTGCAAAAGAAGACGAACGCAGCCCAGGCGAGGGGACCACCTTGGAGATTCCTCTGCCATTGTCTTACCTCTTAACAACACAACTGTTCAACTTGTTGGGTAACATGGGCTATATGTCTGTAAAAGATTAACTTCCCCAGGGCTTGGAGTTTTACGGGGTAAGTTGTATATTTGTTCTTTGTTGCCCAGTGGGTTGCTTCCTCTTTTCCTTTTTTGAGTAAGGGTTCCCTTTTTTCCTTTAAACTCAACCAGCAAAAAAAGGGCGCCCCTTTTTTCCCATGGAAATCCACTGGGCCTCGGAGTGTTGTGGGTTCCAGGTTGATTTGCAATGAAGTAATTACTCATAGTCTACTCGACTAGATTTGGTTTTGAATTGCCCACACCCCAATTATGATGTTTTTGGCTCTTTTAGTACCCTCCCTTGATCAATCCTTGAATCATGGAAGCCGGCAGGAGTTTGCTTAAACAAAAAGCTTCCTTTTGGGCAAGCGCGCCAAGTCCCCTGTCCACTTCCATCATTGAAATAAAGTACTGCTTCT